GATTTTGCACAATGGGAAGTGAAAAGTGAGTCAAGTGTCGTAAAAGAATGCGAGCACGAGGATAATAGGGACAATGGCGGCGATAAACGTCATCGGTAAAGTAACGTGGGAAGAGAGAGGAATAAATTACTGCATTGAACTCGAATCTAACGTGGTGCTTTTTCGATATAATTTCGAGCGCATCGTATCACTTTGGACGACGATCAATCTTCGATCCGATCAATCGATAAATTGACTTTCCTTCCTCGAAAATATCGTTTTATGTATTTTCAATCAAGCATTGATCGATCGATTCTCGTAATTTCTCTTAAGTTAATTCAAGAAAATTATATTGGAAATAAGAAGAAACGAATAATAATTAAATATCTCTTAGAAGATCTTGAGATTAATCCTCTGTGAAAAAAATAAATCACAGCCACTTGAACAGAACAGAACAGATTGATACACGATTGATAAAGGCTAAAGAATAAATAAAAAAAAAAAGAGGTTAAACGCTGATAATAAATAAATCAAACGAGATGGATAATATTTGAGTTGACGTAGGATTTGCCACAAGTTGATAAGAAGTTGCGTCGAAATACGATACGATAAAAAAGATTAATTCTTAATAGGCAAAAATTTGATTCGGATTTTCCCGAAGGAACTTGAAGAATTTGATAAGAATTGTGTTATATTTTTGTCGTGTGATAAGGATATCTTTTCTGTTTACATTGTAATATCATCTACAAACACCATCAAACCTCGTAGAAAATATGATATTTTCATTGATATCAGACAATTCAATTGTAATTCATCGTTAGACTAGATTATATTTGCTATATTTCACACGTGTCGACCAATAAAGGGGAGGTATTAATTATATGGCTCTAAGCTTCATAAATCCACGAAATCTATAATATATTACAATTTTTTAAGATTCGGTGCAATCAATTGCAATTTCCAACGGACAGAATCTGTCGTGATCGTAAGATTTGAATGATTTGTGAGTGTGCGATATAAAGGCGGATTTCAGATTTAAATAAATCAAATGATAATGTCGTTGAATTTAAAACAGAGGAACGAGATAAATTAAATTAGAAAACTAGAGAAATATATAGAACAGATTAAATCACTAGGAAATTCCATATTTTTAAAATTCTTTTAATTTTAATATCAGGACACGTAGATATAGATTTAATT